GGGGCTTTTTTTTTTAAAACGCCCGCAATAAATTTGCCGGGAATACGTTATATATCCGGTAATTTACCGAAAGCTTTAACCGAAACGCTAAACCGGTTAACCCAATTATTTTTAAAACCTGGAAAGGTCCTAACCATTTGTTCGATAGCTTTTTCGACGGCCTTTTTATTTTAATATTCGCCGTATTTAGCAATACCCAATCGCTTACTTTAAAAAGTACCGGGATCCTGCCTTTATTATAGTACTTTTTGTACATATTATTCGCTTTTTTTAACAATCTTTTGGCTTGCTTTTTAATTGCTTCCAAAGCCCCCGCTTTAATTTTAACCGCTACCGAAGGTTTTTTTTTAACCACCCAAAAGTTATAAAACTTTCGTAAGTAAAACCTTATTAATAAAAACGCCGGGGTTTTTTGCAACCCCAAATGCACGCTCGTATTATGCACTTACGTTGTTAAATGCAACAATAACGCCCAATCGTTTTGCCTTTCGCAACAAAAGCACCGGAAATAATGCTTTACTATTTGGTTCGTCCGTTCCGTTTGCCCGTCGGTTTAAAAGTAATATGCTATCGATAGCCTTTTTGCAACCTTTAAATGTCCGGCAAAAATTATCCAAAACCCGTTTGTAAATAGCTTATTTCGGTTCGATACAATCTTTTCGGGCGTTTTTAATAGCCCTTAAACGTATGCAAATAAAAGGTTCCCCAATTTTTTATTGGTTAATTTTGTAAACGTCGAAATAAAAAAGCTATATTTAATAAACCGGTCGACCATTACCAATATTGCGTTGCGCTTTTTGCCGGTTCCATTTACCAACGTTAAAAATTTTTTAATAAAATTTATTAATAGCTTTTGTTCCGGGCGGTTTAATACGGGCAAAAATGCTAATAACCCGTAAAGTATTTATATTTTCGGCTTTATTTATTAGCATATTTAATACGTCCGTACGTATTTGCGTACGTTTTTAACCATACCCGGCCATTTAAATTACCGTTTAAACTTTTTTAAAGTTTTGGCTATGCTTTTGTAACCCCCCGTTAAATTATCGTATTATTTTTAAAGCATTGTTCGTTTAAACGGTGCTAAATTCGGAACCCAAATTTTCCTTTTGTATTTAAACAAACCGTTGCTAATTTCCCAAACGTTAAGCTTATTTTTCCAAATACCGCTTTAAACGAAATTGTCCTTTGTTTGTACTTTAAAAATGCGCTTTAATATCGTTTTAATATCCTTTTTAATGGTAATCGTTTTTACGTAAGCTATTTTTCGGAATTTAGCTAGCAAATCGCTTCGGAATTCTTCCTTTGCCATATCGGCCTCCCCGTCCATTGGTATATTTTGGGAACGTTTTAACAAACCATCCGCAAGGTTCCAATATTTTGGCTTCCATTTAATCGTAAAATCGTACTTTGCTAAATTTTCGAACCATTTTGTTTAACGCTTTATTACCTTTTCCTTTATTAAAATATAAGTATAATTTAAATGGTCGGTAATTATTTTAACAATTTTTTGTAAATAAGCCAAATAATACCGCCACTTTTCGAAAGCTTTTATAATTGCTAACAATTTTAAATTAAGGATTGCATAGCGCAACTTTTTTTATTGTAACTTTTTTAACATGTAAGTTACCAAATGCTACCGGCCGTTTTGCAATTGCAATAGCACCGCCTTTATCGCAAAAGCCAAAACGTCGGTCCGTACGCATAACGGCTTCGAAAAATTAAAATGCACCAATACCGAAACTTTTGTAAATAATAATTTTAATTTACAAAAAGCCTTTTTCGCAATATTCCCCAAATAAAATACGATGTTTTTGTTAAAAAGGTTTGTTAAAAATACAATAATTTTTGCGTAACCTTTTACGAATTTCCGATAATACCCCGTAAAGCCCAAAAATACCTGGATATTTTTAACGCTTTCCGGTATTTTTCATTTTAAAATCGCAATAACTTTATCCGGCAAAATCTCGACCCCAAATCTGGTTATCCTAAATTTTAAAAAGTTAATACTATCCGTTTCGAATTCGCATTTGGCCGGGTTAACGTAAAGTTTAAACCGTTTAAATCGTTCCAGTACCGTTTTTATTACCTCGCGGTGCTTTTTTTATATTTTCGAAAAAATAAAAATATCGTTTAAATACACAATACAATTGCTATTAATTAATTTCCTAAACGTTATATTAATAAAGCTTTAAAACGTTGCTAAAACGTTAGCCAAACCGAAAGGCATTACCAAATATTCGTAATATCCATATTTGCAACGGAAAGCAATTTTCCATTCGTTTTTTTATCGAATCCGTATTTTGTAATAAACGTTTTTTAAATCCAGTTTAATAAAATACTAATTTCTAAATACCCGGTTAAATATTTCGTAAATTAACGGAAATGTTAGCCGGTTTTTTTTAATAACCTTATTAAAACCCCGATAATTAATACAAAAGCGGAATTTTTTATCCTTTTTTAAAACGAATAAAATCCCGGCGCCGGCGGGGCTGGTTAAATGCCGGATTTAATTTTTCGTTATAACCTCGTCGAAATACCCCCGGAAAATTTTTAATTCCTTTTCGAATAAAAAATAAATGCTTTCGTAAAGCGGTATCGTTTTTTTTTTAATTTAATCGCGTAATTTTAACTTATAT